AAAAAAAAAAAAAAAAAAAAAAAAAAAAAAAAAAAAGAAAACTTTTGGAGGTGATAGATACGTTCATTATCTTGATGTTTTTGATGGTGTCACTGGTATACACCTATGTTGGAACTTATCAAATTGTACATTTTAAATTATAACTCAATAAAGCTGTCAAAAAATAAAAAAGAAAAGTAAAACCCAGTGCTCTGTAGTATCTCTCTACTGGTATAGTGGGTGTCCTGTATGCTAATATTTATTCCTCCTGCGATCATTTTACAAAATGACCTTCTTCAATGAGGTCGTAAGTTCCCTAAAGGTGGGGACAATATCTGTTACACTGTTTTTTTAAAAGTTTATTTAATTTCCCAGAGTATATTTGTTAGAACTCTGGCAGAAAATTGATGAAATACTCAAATTGAGGTAAGTTAAGGAAAGGGACTTTTTTTTTTAACCAAGATGAGGTCATTGTTAAGGGATCTCACACAAGGTTTACTACATGACCAAGGGCAGGTTACAGACAGGTGTTATTATCACTCCTAGGCCTGAGGGGGCGAAGGGATGGTGTGCTTATCAGAACTTGGACTCAGAAAGAAAGTTATGTGGAGAGGCCTGTGACCTTCAGTAGGGGAACACGCCCAGCCTTAATAAGCCTGAGCTGGGAGAGTAGCTAATAGAAGCCACCATTCTAATCTCCTGTTGGTGTTTTCCACTGGACAAATCCAACTCGAAATCAGAACATGAGAAAGAGCACTGATATGGTATACACAGGTCAATCTCTTGAGACAGTGATCAGAGCACAGAAGGGTATAGGGTGGGTCTGGAGGCCCATGGGGATAGGCAGCACATAGGCTATCTAGAACTATGTCAAACATGTGCTCACTTTGCAAATGCTTCTTGTCTGATTAATAAATTGTTGATTTAAAAATCTTAACAAAACTATCATATTTTGCTTTAGAAGAATGACTATTCATTGGCATTTGAAAGCATTTCTCTTTTAGGACCATCTGCAAATTCAATTGACAGTTATTTTCTCACTATTGCCTCCTCGGCACTTCTCATTCCATCAAAATTGTGCCAAATAAATTTCCAGGGTTACTCCTTGATTTCTAAATTCTTCTCTCCAATAGAGATATTTAGGTAAACTGTAATCTTTGTTTGGAGCGATAATATTTTTAAGCGTTCCTCTAAGAAAAGTTTTCATATTTAAATAAATTTGGGAAACTAAATTAAATAAAGTGAATGAATCTACGCTAAAATGTATAAACTGCAGCAAAGTTCTGCCTGGACATCAAGGTGTTCCTATATATCCTCTGAAATCTAGGTGGAGGTTTCCAAACCTCAGTTCTTGGCTTCTGTGCACCCACAGGCTCAACACCACACATAAGCTGCCAACACTTGGGGCTTGCACCCTCTGAAGAATGGCCTGAGCTGTACCTTGGCCCCTTTTAGCCATGGCTGGAGCTGAAGCAACTGGGATGCAGGGTACCATGTCCTGAGGCTGCATAGAGCAGGGGGATCCTGGGCCCAACCCATGAAAGCATTTTTCCCTCCTAGGCCTCAGGTCTGTGATGGGAGGGGCTGCCATGAAGGTCTCTGACATTTTCTCCATTGTCTTGGTGATTAATATTTGGCTCCTCATTACTTAGGCAAATTTCTGCAGCTTGCTTGAATTTTCCCTCAGAAAATGGGTTTTTCTTTTCTACTGCATCATCAGGCTGCAAAATTTCCCAACTTTGATATTCTGCTTCCTCTTGAACACTTTGCTGCTTAGAAATTTCTTCTGCCAGATACCTTAAATCATCTCTCTCAAGTTCAAAGTTCCACAGATCTCTAGAGTAGGGGCAAAATGCTGCCAGTCTTTCTGCATAGCAAGAGTGACCTTTACTCTAGTTCCCAACAAGTTCCTCATCTCCATCGAGACCACCTCAGCATGAACTTTATTCATTCACTATCCGCATTTTGGTCAATGCCATTTAACAAGTCTCCAGGAAGTTTCAAACTTTCCCACATTTTCCTGTCTTCTTCTGAGCCCTCCAAACTGTTCCAGGCTCTGCCTGTTACCCAGTTCCAAAGTCGCTTCCACATTTTCAGATATCCTTATAGCAACACCCTACTCTCTGCAGTACTAATTTACTGTATTAGTCTGTTCTCACGCTGCTGTGAAGACATACCCGAGACTGGGTAACTTATAAAGGAAAGAGGTTTAATTGACTCACAGTTCTGCATGGCTAGGGAGGCCTTAGGAACCTTACAATCATGGTGGAAGGCACCTCTTCACAGGGCAGCAGGAGAGAGAATGAGTGCCGAGTGAAATGGAGAAAAGCCCCTTATAAAACCATCGTATCTCATGAAAACTCACTATCATGAGAACAGCATGGGGGATCTGCCCTCATAATCTAATCACCTGCCATGAGGTCCCTCCCACAACATGTGGGGATTATGGGAACTACAATTCAAGATGAGATTTGGGTGCAAGCACAAACCATATCACCATGTCATCCTCCCATTTCTACAACAACAGAGGAACATCCCAGCAGACCCATTCTAATGCTACCCATAAACTGGCTCTTGGCATTTCTAGAAAAAAATATCCAACAAAGAAAACTTTTGCTGTTATCATTTATAATTGAGGAAGAAATAGAGACTCTGGTCACCACCATGTGGCATGTTCACAGAATGGGTTGCGAAGGGGGTTTTGAGAAAAATTATGCCAGCTAAGCCTTGATAGAGCAATAAACAGAAGGCACAAGCTGTGCTCTACAGTCTCTCTGTGGGGTATGACCTGCAATCTTCATTATCAAAAGAGCGAACATTGTTTTTTCTGCTTTTCAATAGGTAATTCGCTCTTATTCAAAGAGATTGTAGATAAAAATGCTCTGTCCTTTTGAAATTTACAATCTGCTGGACAATACTTTCTGAGTGTTATGAGCACCATAGTGAGAACAAGATGTCCTTGGGCTCCCTCCCCTGCTTTCTCCTCCTCTTCCCTCCTCTCCCTGATACCTCTCTGCTTCTTCTATCTGTCCTTTCCACTGCTCCCCAGCCCCCAAGGCTGCTTTTGTGTTAACTCCTGCTGCCTTCACATAAAACATCCCACTGTCATTAATAAACAATGGCTAGTGTCACAGATGAGACCTCAGCCACCCTGGCCTGCTGAGCTCCAACTTGAAAAACTAGCAATTAAAAAAAAAATCCTTCTATCTGCTAATCTTCCTTCAAGAGAATCAGATGCAAAATGATGTTCTTTTTCATGAAAATGTTCCTAGCCTGTGGGTGTCAACAGAGGAAGTCTGCTACACCCCAAGGTGATTAGCAAGAAAGCCTCCCTCCTCATCAGTAAAGAACAAACTACTAGGCGACTCTTCACCCACCAGAACTACATAGTCGCCTCTTCTGCCTGTTTTGGTGGGCAGTAAAATCTGGGGGTATTTGTTCTGGAGGTGTGAGTAAAAGGCAATGAGTTAGGTTCACTGCCTTCTTTCACAATAAGGTGAACTGGACTCAAATATAATTGCAATGTTTAAAGTGGTCTCAACCCTTCTAACACAAATGCTAGCCTTCTTCGGCACTCAGTTATTGGTACCAATAAACGGCCCCTCCTCCCTCCTTTCTCTGGAGGAATAAACAGCATGTGCTATTTGTTATACACTGTCTGTTCCCACCTCGACAAGGAAAACCAAATGTCCTGATGTTTTGGTTCCCTCATGTCAGCTCAATACTGGCTGGAAGTACTCAACATAAAGGATGTCCCAAAGAAAGAATTTCATTTTACTTATGAAACCAGTATTCTCAAACCACAAACCAAACTCTGTGGTTAAAGAATATGATTATTCTCTTCCTAAATTAAGTAGTGGTGGGCAAGGCAAAAGTCCATGAGGGCAAATCATCTCTCCCTGCAGCCATCCAGGTAACACCCCCAGATAACATTTGTGTTTGTCTACTACAAGGCATCATTTCTCAAAATGTCTTCCATATGCTCAGAAACATGTAGAATAGAGGGCCCCACTGCAGATCTTCTGAATCATAACCTCTGATTTGAATGTGTTCCTGGTAATTCTCATGCTCACTCAAGTTTGAGAATCACTGATAGGCATGGGTCCAGAGACTCTGCCTATACCTGATTAAGCTATTTTTTATGCATCACAGAGGAGAGAAGGGTTTTGGAGGCATACTCAACTCTCTATGCTTTCTTCATAACATTATTTTTATTTAAAACATCACCTGTTATATCAACATGAATTTCAACTTAAACACAAGTGATACACAAGGCAAAGACAAATGCTTGGGTATGATTTAGAAATATTTGCTATCAAACAGAATTACTTTACATTTCTGCCTACACTCTCATACCATCTTATATTACCCACAGGCTGTCTTTGGGGTTATTCCTAGATGTGATTTCTATGCTTTGGCTTTGACCTTCTCCCAGCTGCCTACTTTTGGAACACATACCCATTCCTTTTACTTTCCACCCTTCTTCTAAGAATTATTCCTCCAATCAGTTTTTGTCTTTATAGAGCAGCACTTCACAGACGGTAATCTGGGAATCCCAGAGGTCCCTGAGACTCTTTTAGGGGACTGATGAGGTAAAAACTATTTTCATAACTAAGATGTTATGTTCCTTTTACTCTTATTTTCTCATACGTGTACAATGGCATTTTCTGGAAGCTACATGATGAGTGATAACATCATCACTCTGATGGCTAGTGGAATGC